GTCCCTCGGCGGCAACCATGGTGCGGGCTCGGGTAGGTATATCCTTGCCCGTCCCGATATACAGATTTGACAAAACTATTATAAAAGTCTGTTATAATCATATAAAATTGAAAATTGCGAATTATATGCCACACCGTTAGATTGACAAAAAGTATTGCAGAGGTTTGCTTCAGCATGTTAAGAATTTCAGGTAATTGTTTAATAATCAGGTAAATTTGTTGTCCACACCCCCCCCCAGCAAGGCTTGCCTCGCGATTGCCCTGGATATTGCATCGACCTATGTTCCACGCGATCGAAGAGGGTGTGTTTATGGTTAACTTAGAGACTTCTTTGTACATTTCCCGACAATAGATGGCTCCAAATTGCAGCTTTCCGTTCAGAGTTACCCTACTTAATTTTGGGCAGTTAGGCCGAACAATTTCGGTAGTTAGGCGGCACATAAGCAACACTTTAAGGGTGAGGGGGGCATTCCATGCGGGAGCTAAAGGCCACTGGACAAGTTACAAAGAGATGTTACATGGTTGAGCGTGAGAAATCAAGTTTACATGCCATACGGAATGGAATTTTCTGCAACGTTCTTGTGGCTGCAAAATCTTTAAATGATTACAAACAAGGAAAGTGTCTGTATTGGATTTCTGTATAGAGACTTGGTTCATGTGGTAAACCTTTCCTTCATGTGCGTTTGCCTCTTTCTACTGATGCATCGACATCATCTTTTATTGCGGTGTCCACTGGGTGTCTGCGACAGCGAACATTTCTCCTAGAAAATTTAACGAAAAGGTAACTTTTAGCTGAAATGTCTTATCCCTTCGTACATGGTTCCAAAGGGTGACTGTGTTGTTGGTTTCTTTGAGGTGCTTGCCCCTTACAGCATTCCATTGCTTCAAAAGAAGGAAGTCCTTTTACGAAACCTAGGTTCAAGGCGGCTGAGTCCCCTTCAAAGGCGCCCCTCCAAGCACAAAGTTCTTCCATTGAATATTCGAAGCGCTTTAGAACAAATTTCAAGCATTTTTTGTTCTGAATTTGATGTTATGAAGACCATGGTTAGTTTTAAACAGTGGGGCTTGCAGAGACTGCTTGCTTTTTGTGTCTTAAGCAAAACTAAGTTCGAAAACCTTAGTAAAAGCTTTTCGCGATCAAAATTGGCAACTTCAATAAAAAGCTTAGAAGTCATTTGGAAGTTTTTCTAGTGATATCTCAGTGGTCTTTTTGCGATGAAAGGTTTATTTGATGCATAAGTTTTGATGTAGCATTTGAAAACTGTGTCAGGAATTGAGCACTTTGGTGGATCGAAAATGACCTAAAAGGAGTATTGGCGCGTGATTGGCTATTTGGTTGTGCGGGATTCAAGTTGTATCTGTTGTATCCCTCAGAGGCATCAATTTTGTAGCGTTCTCGCGCAATCTCCCGACCCCATTGTCCTGTGGATACACCTTTGTTTGAAGGTGGTCAGCAGGGAGCAGCCTCAGTGAAATGGATTACATAAATATTTGGAGTTTCAAGATAAACATATCACGTTAAGGGGTGCTTTTCCTATTACACAAAAGGGGACAGGGAAGAGGGAAGGGCTATTCACCGAAAAAAAAGCAACTCGCAGGCTTGAGAACATGGAATATTTCTAGGAACGTTTAATAACCCACCCAGAAAGGCTATATTATGATGACAAAAATACATGCATTTCCTACATCCATTTGGTACCAATGGTATTGGTTATTTTTTACATGAACAGAGAATGGCGGAAATTTCATCCTTTTGGGGTTTAAAGAGATTGCACGCCGTCCTGGATACTGCCAAAGTGCAAATTTATCTCCTTATAAAAAAACGATGATAATAATAAACTGTAAAAAATTTGTAATAAAAAATACAGCATAATTTACTGAGGGTAAAAGAAACTGTCAATATGCAATACAAAAATATTTTTATCTGAAGGTTGACATCAGCATAAAAATTGAATGAAATCATGAAATCTATGGATTAATACCCTGCAAAAATATATTTTTAATAAACTGCCTATTGCATTTTTGTCATCTGAGAGTATCAAGGCTGCTAGAGAGATGCTAAAGAGAAAGAATTTAAAGAAACTCTGAAGCAAATCTTCCTATTGCAACGTAACAAAAAAAATTGACATAAAGTAAAAAAAAGAGAACGAAGGGTCTTAGAGAAACTCTAAAGCAAAGCTCCCTACAGGAACGTAGCAATAAAATTGACATAAAGTAAAAAAAAGAGAACGAAGGACTTTAGAGAAACTCTAAAGCAAGGCTCCGTACAGGAACGTAGCAATAAAAATTGACATACAGTAAAAAAAAGAGAACGAAGGACTTTAGAGAAACTCTTAAGCAAAGCTCCCTACAGCAGAGTAGCATGAAAAATTAGCAGGCAGTAAAATAAAGAGAACGAAGGGTCTTAGGGAAATTCTAAAGCAAAGCTCCCTACAGGAACGCAGCAATAAGAATTGACAGGCAGTAAAATAAAGAGAACGAAGGGTCTTAGGGAAAATCTAAAGCAAAGCTCCCTACAGGAACGCAGCAATAAGAATTGACAGGCAGTAACATAAAGAGAAAGGGGAATTTTAGAGAAACTCTAAAGCCGAGCTCCGTACAGGAACATAGCAACAAATATTGACAGGCAGTAAAAAAAGAGAACGAAGGAATTTAGAGAAACTCTAAAGCCAAGCTCCGTACAGGAATGTAGAATGAAAAATTGGCATGCAGTAAAATAAAGAGAACGAAGGATTTTAGAGAAATTTTAAAGCAAACTCCTTATAGGAACATAGCAATAAAAATTGACAGGCAGTAAAATAACGAGAAAGAAGGATTTTAGAGAAACTCAAAGCAAAGCTCCCTACAGGAACGTAGCAATAAGAATTGACAAGGAGTAAAATGAAGAGAAAGAAGGATTTTAGAGAAACTCTAAAGGAAAGCTCCCTACAGCAACGTAATAAAAAAAATTGACAGGCAGGAAAATAAAGAGAAAAAAGGATTTTGGAGAAACTCTAAAGCAAAGCTCCCTACAGCAACCTAGCATGAAAAATTGGCAGGCAGTAAAATAAAGAGAACGAAGGGTCTTAGGGAAATTCTAAAGCAAAGCTCCCTACAGGAACATAGCAATAAAAATTGACAGGCAGTAAAATAAAGAGAAAGAGGAATTTTAGAGAAACTCTAAAGCAAAGCTCCCCACAGGAACGTAACAATAAAAATTGAAAGGCAGTAAAATAAAGCGAACGAAGGATTTTAGAGAAATTCTAAAGCAAAGCTCCCTACAGCAACGTAGCAATAAAAATTGACCGACAGTTAAAAAAGAAAACGAAAGATTTTAGAGAAACTCTAAAGCAAAGCTCCCTACAGCAAAGTAGCATGGAAAATTGACAGGCAGTAAAATAACGAGAAAGAAGGATTTTAGAGAAACTCTAAAGCAAAGCTCCGTACAGGAACGTAGCAATAAAAATTGACATTCAGTAAAAAAAAGAGAAAGAGGAATTTTAGAGAAACTCTAAAGCAAAGCTCCCCACAGGAACGTAGCAACAAATATTGACAGGCAGTAAAATAAAGCGAACGAAGGATTTTAGAGAAACTCTAAAGCAAAGCTCCCTACAGCAACGTAGCAATAAAAATTGACCGACAGTTAAAAAAGAAAACGAAAGATTTTAGAGAAACTCTAAAGCAAAGCTCCCTACAGGAACATAGTAATAAAAATTGACATTCAGTAAAAAAAAGAGAACGAAGGATTTTAGAGAAACTCTAAAGCAAGGCTCCGTACAGGAACGTAGCAATAAAAATTGACATTCAGTAAAAAAAAGAGAACGAAGGATTTTAGAGAAACTCTAAAGCAAAGCTCCCTACAGCAAAGTAGCATGAAAATTTAGCAGGCAGTAAAATAAAGAGAACAAAGAATGAAAAATTGGCAGACAGTAAAATAAAGATAAAGAAAGATTTTAGAGAAACTCTAGAGCAAAGCTCCCTACAGCAACGTAACAAAAAAAATTGACAGGCAGTAAAATAAAGAGAAAAAAGGATTTTAGAGAAACTCTAAAGCAAAACTCCCTACAGCAACAAAGCATGAAAAATTGGCAAACAGTAAAATAAAGAGAAAGAAAGATTTTAGACAAACTCTAAAGGAAAGCTCCCTACAGCAACGTAACAAAAAAAATTGACAGGCAGTAAAATAAAGAGAAAAAAGGATTTTAGAGAAACTCTAAAGCAAAGCTCCCTACAGCAACGTAGCATGAAAAATTGGCAGGCAGTAAAATAAAGAGAAAAAAGGATTTTAGAGAAACTCTAAAGCAAGGCTCCGTACAGGAACGTAGCAATAAAAATTGACAGGCAGTGAAATAACGAGAAAAAAGGATTTTAGAGAAACTCTAAAGCAAAGCTCCCTACAGCAACGTAGCATGAAAAATTGGCAGGCAGTGAAATAACGAGAAAAAAGGATTTTAGAGAAACTCTAAAGGAAAGCTCCCTACAGGAACGTAGCAATAGGAATGAACAGGCAGTAAAATAAAGAGAAAGAAGGATTTTAGAGAAACTCTAAAGCAAAGCTCCCTACAGCAATGTAACAAAAAAAATTGACTGGCAGTAAAATAAAAAGAACGAAGGATTTTAGAGAAACTCTAAAGCAAAGCTCCTTATAGGAACATAGCAATAAAAATTAACAGGCAGTAAAATAAAGAGAACGAAGGATTTTAGAGAAACTCTAAAGCAAAGCTCCTAATAGGAACATAGGAATAAAAATTAACAGGCAGTAAAATAAAGATAAAGAAAGATTTTAGAGAAACTATAGAGCAAAGCTCCCTACAGCAACAAAGCATGAAAAATTGGCAAACAGTAAAATAAAGAGAAAGAAAGATTTTAGACAAACTCTAAAGGAAAGCTCCCTACAGCAACGTAACAAAAAAAATTGACAGGCAGTAAAATAAAGAGAAAAAAGGATTTTAGAGAAACTCTAAAGCAAAGCTCCCTACAGCAACGTAGCATGAAAAATTGGCAGGCAGTAAAATAAAGAGAAAAAAGGATTTTAGAGAAACTCTAAAGCAAAGCTCCCTACAGGAACGTAGCAATAAGAATTGACAGGCAGTAAATTGAAGAGAAAGAGGGATTTTTGAGAAACTCTAAAGCAAAGCTTCCTACAGCAACGTAGCAATAAAAATTGACAGGCAGTAAAATAAAAAGAACGAAGGATTTTTGAGAAACTCTAACGTAAAGCTTCCTACAGCAACGTAGCAATAATATTTTACAGGCTTAAAGTAAAAACAACGAAGGATCGTAGGAAAACTTTAAAGCAAAGCTCCCTACAGGAACATAGCAATAAAAATTGACATACTGTAAAAAAAAGAGAACAAATAATTTTAGAGGAACTCTAAAGCAAAGCTCCGTACAGGAATGTAGAACGAAAAATTGGCAGGCAGTAAAATAAAGAGAACGAAGGATTTTAGAGAAACTCTAAAGGAAAGCTCCTTATAGGAACATAGCAATAAAAATTAACAGGCAGTAAAATAAAGAGAAAGAAGGATTTTAGAGAAACTCTAAATCAAAGCTCCCTACAGCAACGTAACAAAAAAAATTGACAGGCAGTGAAATAACGAGAAAAAAGGATTTTAGAGAAACTCTAAAGGAAAGCTCCCTACAGGAACGTAGCAATAGGAATGAACAGGCAGTAAAATAAAGAGAACGAAGGATTTTAGAGAAACTCTAACGAAAATCTCCCTACAGCAATGTCGCAATAATAATTTACAGGCTTCAAATAAAAACAACGAAGGATCTTAGGGAAACTTTAAAGCAAAGCTCCCTACAGGAACATAGTAATAAAAATTGACATACAGTCAAAAAACGAGAACGAAGGATTTTAGAGAAACTCTAAAGCAAAGCTCCTTATAGGAACATAGCAATAAAAATTAACAGGCAGTAAAATAAAGAGAAAGAAGGATTTTAGAGAAACTCTAAAGCAAAGCTCCCTACAGCAATGTAACAAAAAAAATTGACTGGCAGTAAAATAAAGAGAACGAAGGATTTTAGAGAAACTCTAAAGCAAAGCTCCTTATAGGAACATAGCAATAAAAATTAACAGGCAGTAAAATAAAGAGAACGAAGGATTTTAGAGAAACTCTAAAGCAAAGCTCCTTATAGGAACATAGCAATAAAAATTAGCAGGCAGTAAAATAAAGAGAAAGAAGGATTTTTGAGAAACTCTAACGTAAAGCTCCCTACAGGAACGTAGCAATAAAAATTGACAGGCAGTAAAATAAAAAGAACGAAGGATTTTTGAGAAACTCTAACGTAAAGCTCCCTACAGGAACGTAGCAATAAAATTGACAGGCAATAAAAGAACAACGAAGGATTTTAGAGGACCTCTTAAAGAAAACTTCCTACAGCAAAGTAGCAATAATATTTTACAGGCTTAAAGTAAAAACAACGAAGGATCTTAGGGAAACTTTAAAGCAAAGCTCCCTACAGGAACATAGCAATAAAAATTGACATACTGTAAAAAAAAGAGAACGAAGAATTTTAGAGAAACTCTAAAGCAAATCTCCGTACAGGAATGTAGAACGAAAAATTGGCAGGCAGTAAAAAAAAGAGAACGAAGGATTTTAGAGAAACTCTAAAGGAAAGCTCCCTACAGCAACGTAGCAATAGTATTGACAGGCAATAAAACAAAAACAACAAAGGCTTTTAGGGAAACACTAACGCAAAGCTCTCTACAGCAACTTGGCAATAAAAATTGACATGTTGGCTTTTTGAGAAACTCAAAAGCAGAGTAAGTTATAATAAGTGATAAACGAAAGTTAATACGCAAGGAAATAAAAATAAAAGTGGTTTTTAGAGAAGCTTTTCAAAAGAGCTACCAGCAGTAAGTTAGAAAGAGAAATTCATGCGAAAGGAAATAAAAATAAAAGTGGTTTTTAGAGAATTGTTTTTACAAAGCTAACAACAGTAAGAAACTTTTCATCAAAAGTAACGCATAGTAAGTTATGAATAGAATTTAATTCTCAAGGAAAAACTATACTTTGAAATATAATGGTAATTTGAAAAAAATAATTTTCCTTGGAAAGTATAAGGTTTGCACTTCAGAATTAAAGGTCTGCACTTCAGAAAAAAAGCTCAAGGATCCACGCTATTTAAGTTTGTAAGTTTGGAATTTGAAGGAAAGGGAACCGACATACCTGCAAAAGTCATACAAGTTCTTATGAAGGTTTTAGTCCAGATCCCATTCATATCCAATTTCTAGGTGTTCAAAGCATCAACTGGCTATATTGATGGAGCTCTGAAGAGGAATTTGTGAGCCCTAGGATTTTAACAAAAAAATAACATTGGAAGTGGTTGAAAAATATTTCAATAAAGGTTCAAGAAAATGAAAGTTTCTGGAATTTTGTCCAAAAGAACAGAGTCCAGAGCTAAAAGCAAGACCTAAAGGACTGAAGAAAACCAAACAAACTGTTTATCATTAAAAGAGATCTGGAGAACGTTATCGAGAAAGTCTGAAATCAAAAAGTCGTTTCAATCAAAGTATCGACATCCTAGATGGCTGTTTCATTGTTAACATTTTTTCAACGTTCTAAAAAGCAAAACAATTTTGTTTTCAAAACTGAATTGCCAAAAAATTGACATTGGTTTTCCTAATGAAGGGTAGTATCGTTGCTAAGAGGATATCTTCAAAAGTAGCATCAGTGAAGGTAATGTCACAGTAGTTAAAAGTAATATATAAAGATTTACATTGGACTTTGATTGGCATCACATTGCAGGCTTAGTTTGCAAGAATTTGGATAAATTAAACAAGTGAGGATATTGTCCTAAATTCTTCCTAAACTTTCAATATTTTAGTCATAGCCTTAAAATCCACAAAACAATATGCAGCTGTGTCCTACATCAAGCTACTTATGAAACAGACCAGAAGTGAGGGAGCCAAAATAAGAAATCCACACAGACACGCCCTTTATTAAAGGTTACACCCAAAAATGATGTAAAGAATCAGTTGCTACATTATCTGCAGACGGAAGAAAGTTTTGTAATGCATTCATTCCGGGGGACAATGCATAAATATTAATAACATTATTTTATGGGAAAAGAATCTTTATTATTGAAATTAAATTAATGGCAATCTCGGCCTAAATATCTATAAAAAAGGAAAATGTTTGTGAGGAATTCAAAACTGTCTACTCTTGATTTGAAATCATATAACAGTAGAAGAAAGTGGTAACTTTGTGGTTTCGTTTGGGGATGTCAGGGACTTTTATCCTGCCAAAAATTATAACTATTTAATGAACATTGATTCAGAGGAACATTTGAATGATGAATGAAGCAAAAAATTAAAAACAATGGGCAGCAAGGGATTGATGAAGGGAGGGGATTCAGGGGCTTGCCCTTAAAAAAAATTTAAGGACCAAGCCCTCTGAATTGTACAAAAACATAACTACAACAAGAGTGAATATAAAGTCATTATTCTCATTTCGGCTGGAAAAATTCCTTGGACCATTATGCTCTAACGAATCACTGCTGACATAGGCTCTGATATTAAAAGATCAATTTAATCACAGATAATCTGGTTTCCATCTTTGCTATGCTTTAAAGAGCAAAATCTTCTCAAGGCTAAGTATACAAAGGAAAATTACAGAACATTTTGGCAAAATACATTAATTTAAAAGATGAATTTATGAAATCTTTCTGGCACAAAAGAAAAGGAGGTTTTCCAAACAGAAAATTAACATTCTTTTAGGAACAGTGACTAAATTCAGAGCATTAATTAAGCAAGATTTAAAACAATATAGAAAATTAAAAATGATATTGATGTCCTTAGATTGCAAAATCTTTTTGAAGACAGCAAGGAATGGTAAGTGTGAATTGCAAAGCATCTGATTTCTTGCAGGAGTGCAAGGAGGGCTGTTTCTATCATCAAGACAGCATTTATTTAAAGAAAATTATATTCAACTTTGGTGGAAACAACATATGATACACTGGAAAAAGTCTTATTTGTTGATAGCTCTTCTAGTTTGCTTCACATTTTAAAATACTTGATTCGAAAGATAGATTACATTAAATGAAAGATACATCAGATTTGAAAGATACATTAAATTATATTTCTTGGCAAAATGCTATATCATAATTAACTACCTGGTTTTTGGTTCCAAAGTTTTCCCATCAAGACAAAACACCACAGAAATCAAAGCAGGATGCAAATATCCATGACTCTACATAAAACAAATTTAGACATGAATTTTTATATCATGTAGATCATCAAAATTTTAGTATATAGTCTTTCACAAACTGGCATTGATTTTTATTAGTTTCAATGCTGTGTTTAAAAATCTTATATCAAAACTTTTAACCATTCTGTTGGGGTCTTGGAGTATTTGCTCAATAATTTCTTGTAATGGTTATTGACCTTTACATTTAAAGGCTGATTCACTTTTACTTTTACATTTACAAATAAAATTTTCATTTACTAAAGTATAATTAGAAATTGTTGTGTTTTTTTCTTAAAAAAGAAAAATTAGATAATGACTTTTGAAATCATCTTACATTGAGCTGCAATCATTCAGAGCAGATTAAATGCTGGTCAAATGAAATTCTATCAGAGCTTTTTTGATGAGAGATGTTATAGAATTTGAAATCATTAAAAGGGTTCTTATTTTCTTTCAATTTTATTAATCAAATTTAGGTGTAAAGTTATGCTATTAAGCCTTAATTTGCTGTTTTGATGCCTTTGGGAATAATGGTGAAGTTGTAGTTGGGTTTTCTTGGGTGAAAGTTGTTACAGAGAGTGTAAGTAAGTGTTTTGGATAGGGCTTCTTGATTTTTATGTATGCTCTTGCCAGACTGTTCTCTTCTCCTGTCCCTCTCTCCCCTTCTGGTTTAAAGTAAAGTGTGTTTCTTCAAATCCTCTATAATTTTACCTCATAGGGGTTTGGGCTTATTCACATAACAGGATTCAATTAACAGATTATTATGATTTCATTAAGGGTCGACTTGGTTCTTTAAGTTTTGTTTCTCTTCCCCTCTCATACTTTATGCAACTAAGGTAGGATGGTGCATCAGCTCCCTGGTGGGGATAAGCTGCCTTGTTACTTGAATCAATCAAGTTATATCTAAGGTCTAGGGCAGGCATTCTTAAACCCCTACCTGCGGGTCATCTCTGGCCCACAGCAAAATGTCATCCTGCCCGCCGAATACATTTTACCTCAAAAATATTTTTTGCCAACATTTTCAAAATTTGGAATTCAATTTATCTTTGGTTTTCCTTTGTCCCCTCTGATATATTTTTTTTCTCTTTAATCAATTCTAAATGTATTCCATAGACAGTTTTTAGTCCAAAAGAGAATAACAAAATAGGAAATGTCTTGTTTCCTTTTTAATATCAACAGATAAAACTATGGAACCTAGTCAAGAAAATGCCTTGAATTTTCTCCCGTTAATATCTATTTGAGGTGTTGTTTCTGGCCATTCCTAGATTAATATAGCCTAAAATTTTTCTTGCTGCCAACCATGGTGGTGGCCTTGACTAAATACATCAACAAACATAAGATTTTATCCTTTCTTTAAAATAAGCTGTGCAGTCCCTTGACCTGACTTCAGGCACTTCAAATCGACCCAACAAGAGACTAACGATGATGAACGTTCTAGCCTAAAAATAGCATAGAACGATTTTCTGACTCAGTCTGGTACAAGAAACATAAAGTTACAGACCTTTGTAAAAACTATTTTTTGGATTTATGTGAAGGTAGATAAGATAGGCAGCCACAAAATAAAAGGCCTGTCTATTTTAACACTAACTTAGCCTGGTAAAAATGAGATCTGAGTTTCATTTTGAGCAGCCTACACAAGGTATGTAAAAGTTGAAACCAACTGGCCCCCGAAGAAATTCTTTATGTTTTTCTGGCCCGGCATTTAAAATCATTAAGAATCCCTGGTCTAGGGCTTTATATGTGATTATTGATCGATTTTTACCAAGGCACCAACAGCCAAATGCGGAAGTGAAGGCTCAACACCCGATTTGAAAGATGGCAAAAATCGATTAAGAACCTAAGATAACAAAGTGATAGATAAAAATAAACTTCCACTAAAAAATAGCCCTTCTTGTTGCTTAAAGTCTATTCAACACTCTACAACACGCAAAACAAAATGATTCTAAACGCCACAAACAACAGACAAGAACAAACACAAAACATCACTGAACATAAAAGTGTGACATGCCAATGGAAGTGTCTTCTGAAGTAAATAATATTTTTAAATTTAAAGAATTCCCTTTTTATTGTTTTCCTCCCTGAGAAATTAATCTCTTTACGAGTTTTTTACTCAAAAGAGATTTAATAATTTTAAACAAATCTGAGAGATTGCAAGAGCCCTATTATACGACACAGCGATCAATATTTGCCACTCTCTAGAGAATGGCAACTTAGTTTGGTGACTTCATGGCATAGCACCCACGAACAACATCTTATGAAATAATCCTAATTCTCTTTTTCTCTAGTTATTGCATGCAATGTAATTTTAGAACATAACTTACAGAAAAGACGGCGCTAAAAACACCACAGGGCTTGATCAGAAGCTGGCCTAACATCATATGGCGTTTATAAAATAACAGTAGCAACAAAGACATACCTTCGGCCTTTAACTGTTCAACATTACAATATATTTATCTAACATCTTGTTGCATAGTAAATATAAATTTTCTTGGAATAACTATAACACGTGAGCCGCTTATGACGAAAACAACTTTCTTCGAAGCCATGTTTTTAATCACACGAAAGG